GAGAGGCTCATTTGAGAGTCTTAAGGGTCTTAAGGGTCGCGGGGTTTTGGCCTCGGGCGTTTTTTGCAAGTTTTCACTTTTTACGAAAATTATCTCGCTCGAAATGCTCCATTATCTCCATGATTTATCAACTAGAAGGAAAATATTTCAAATGTTCTCATGCAAGACAACTTGCCTTGGTGCTAAAAATGAGAAAAAAAATATTACGAAGACAAACGTCCCCTCAAGCTCTCACAAAATCTGTCTCACCGCAGAGACTTAAATGACTTGACACAGAGAAAAACTCCGACGTTTAAATGGTCCTCTTAACGCACAGCAGGGTCTCTATTGTCTTCCAGTTTTCAAGTTGACAAGCTCACGATATCCGATGATGGTATGCATTTGTTCTTAAGTTCTCATTGTTAACAACAGGCGTTACACGTTTAAGAAGCTGGTGTTGACCTGGTCTTCTGACCCCGATGTTCTTGCGGTATCTGCGTGCGCATCTTGAACATAATAGCTGACGGTAATTTTTTCCACATTTGAGCATCATACATTCGTAATATATTTATTACTCACATGCCTCAATTTGAATTGCAATGAATGACAGTCACCGTTGTCAATGAACCTGACACGCCATGTTTACAAAACACTAGCACGCATCAGGGTTTGAAGCAACGCAAAACGTCCATTCATCATTTCAGGCTTTCAAGATTGCTGCGAGCTTCAGTGTAAAATAGACTATTTTGTGAAATTATACAGCCCCTTATTGTTTACCACGTAACCACCACCAAATGTTTTTCAGAGCAGGCGGTCGCAAACTTAACACAACGGCCACGTGCAAGCATTTGGTAGGCACAGAGTGATGGCGTTCTAAACTGTTCTAGAGCGCAAAAAATATATAGGTTCCAATTTCAAACTGCGCTGGTTCATTTCGATGAAATTACTTGAATACATTGTGCCGTGTTGTTCCAGTACGCTAAAAATCATGGCTACTTATTCCCATGTACGCTATTTCACTTCGACGAACTTGCGTCACAGCATTGCATTGAGCTTTCACCAAATTTTTAAGTGAAGTGATTAACGTGCGTGGAAATCGTACTTTTCGTCAAACCAGCGCATAAAAATACAAAATTGTTTTAAAAGCATTGCGTTTCACTGGTGTAAGCACGCCGAAAAGTCGCCGAAGTTTAAAAAGATTCTCAAAGTGTCGTTCTGGGCACGCTGAGAAGTATTTGAACTTTGAAAAGCATCTCAGAGTCCCCTAGCGGATCATCCTCCTTGTGGTCTCATAAAATGACAAACTGGTACGAGATGAATTGCAGCAAAATGTCTAATCGCGAAGACGGCACCACATCTCCGACGAAAATTCCCATTGCAACTTCCCCAAAATACTTCTCAGTGACCTACACGCGGTGCTTTTCTGGAACAACGTAAGGCACGGAAAGGAGGCGTAATTATTGCGACATCACATAAGCCAATCTGCGCAGTGCGCAAGTTGACATATCACCATGCGCCTTTCGTTACCGTCAATTCATACCGGATGCGTCGGACGCTATTTCAAAACACGTCATCACCGCCTTCATAACGCAGCAACGCTCGCACCCCGTGACTTGCAAGAGCAGCCTAGTAGTTTAGTAGTTGCCTAGTCTAGTACAGCCTAGTAGTTGGTTCATACACGACTTTCAACCGATATGTGCTAGCACGAATGGTGCCCAACTCAATCGAGGGAGGATGCCGGTGCAGGAGGGCGGTTATCTTTGCCAACTACTCCCTCGGTGTTGGAAAGTGGCCCGCTCCCCGTGGCACGTGGTCTCTGTACCGTTCAGCGTTGGCATCCCAGAGGATTCCGGCGTCATTAATACCTCGCTTGGCCTTGTTTGTCGCACGTCCGCGCGCTTGGGGGGGGGGGGGGGGGAGGGTCGCAGCGGGCACCCATCTTCAGCGGTAAACCCAGCGCATACTTACAGAAGTATTTTCCATGAACCAGCTGAGGCAAAACGTCGATTTTTAAAAGATGTGCTGTTTTTTGTTTGTTTGAGAATAAGGAGGTCGGAACCATGCGTGTGAAAGGCGGCATGTATATTCGAAAAATGATTTTAAGAGTACCTAGCATTAGTAGATTGTTACTTACGTTGGTTCAAATTAAGTTATTAATTTAACTCGATTTAGTAAACGGCTGTCTCCTAAGTTTTAGTGCTTCAGATTAGCATAGCGAGATTCATTTATTTCGAAGAAGGCCAGATGATCATGAGCTAATGCACCATCGTTTAGTCCGATCGTCCCAAAAACTCGAAGCTCATCAAGTATTTACGAGCTGCCGCTGCAAGATTCCAGTTTTGAGCGTAGTTCAATTCCCTGTCCGCTGCGGAAGCTGATGCCGCCGGGAAAGGGAAATCTAGCCATCCAACAGCCAAACTTTCAGATTAAGCAAAGGCAACATATTGAACCCCGTAAACTACTCAGATCAAAGTCTGCGGAATCATTCAGATGGGCTACGAGAGAACATCACATTGAACGTTGTCGCTCTCCGGCACTGTCGTATCGAGCTACATGTATCTTCTAGGCTGAACAAAAGTTTGAAATGATGCATTATCTGCCACTCTACATGTAAGCTGTCCCCACTATCACCCGATTTGACCCACGTTTTTGATTGGCTTTTCTATTGCACATGGCACTGAATGTTGCAAAATGCTAGTCTATTGCCGCGATGAGGACTCAGTGCAAAGCATATTTACACATTCAAAAGATGCGCATGGTTTAATTGGACGCCGATGAAGCATTGCGTCGACAGTCGCTGAAGCGTCTGGTCCAGACGCCGACCGCCCGCTCTGTATCTGCCGCAGAACCGACACCTCTCGACGCGTCTGGTCCGGACGCCGACCGCTCGCCCTGCATCTGCCACAGAGGCAACTCTGCATCTTCCACAGAGCCGATACCTCTCGGCGTGTCTGATCCAGGCGCCGAGCGCTCGCCCTACATCTGCCACAGAGCCGACACCTCTCGACGCGTCAGGTCCGGACGCCGACTGCTGGCCCTACATCTGCCACAGAGGCAACTCTGCATCTGCCACAGAATCGACACCTCTCGACACGTCTGGTCCGGACGCCGACTGCTCGCCCTGCATCTACCACAGAGTCGACATATGTCGACGCGTCGCCGGATTGAGGGCGATGCAGCGTCCCGACGCCCCCACACCGTAACCTCTGAAGTGGTTACGCTTTGCACACTCCCTCCGCCGCCACCACCCCCTCCCCGTCCCCCTATCCCCGGGCGAGGCCCGCGGGGAACCCCAGCCGGCGTATCAACAACAACAGACGGCGGAGAGGTCTGCTATCACCCTCTGTGGGATTGGTGGTCCCGGAACGCGGGCTCTGGTTTCCGCCAACACCGCGGCGAACGATCTGGATTCGCGCCACCGCTGCCGCGATGCCGGGCCCTCAGCCCGAGCTGGTATTCAGGCAGGAGGTCAAAAGGCGCGCACGCACCCCGGATACGCCCTCTTTGTGTAAACTTGATATTATATTTCGATGGAGATATTTTATTCGGGTCGCTTGCACGCGGTCCGAATAGTGTTTTTGTGTCACCTAATGCCATAGGAAATGCAGTCCATAATAGAATGGCGGCGGTACTGGAGCGTGTCTGGTGGATTCACTCTGAACACTACAATGTGTTTAGTGAAACCGCAGATCAAAGCATGGGCTTTAGGGGTCCATGATCAAGAAAACACGCAGGCCATTCAGCAATTTGGTAAAAATGGCATGTTTCCAGCAGGAGGGAGCGGAGGGCGCTTTATGTTACTTCCAAGTGTTGCGTAAGTCCTACAGCTGTTTAAAATGCAAGTGACGCATGCACTGTCCAACATGGCGGTTCATCCAGCAGCGGAGAAGGGAAAAGAAAGGGCTAGGGCTATTTGAGACCCACCAAACTGTAATTGTCGTCGGTACCTAGCATTCGCATCTTTCTCCCAATTCTTGTCAAGATCCCACACAATGCATTCGGGTGTTGCCATTATCAAGCGTCACAGTAACTCGCACCAAATGCCCTTGGAAGGCAAAACCCCAAAACCGCCAGGAACTCAATTCGGCTTGAACCAGGCTAGAACTCGACAGCACTAGAACTCGTGACTTTCCGCACAGGTCGTGGGTAAATACCCTGCCGTTTTCTTTGTCCAGTATCTGATGTGTCCGAACAACTTTTTAACGTGAAGGCTTGAAATCGAATGAAGGCTGGAACTATGCGGACCACCGCCTTTTCTAAAATGCCGCACCGGCCGCTACAGTGTAATTATCCCCACAAACAAAGCAACCCAGGCGCGTCAATATTCCCAGCCAAGCTCGAGGGGATGTCCTAGTCATTTCTGCATTTTGCGTGGCGAAATATATCAACACACCACTACCCATCAAACTCACAGCCCTATCGGCGCTCGAAACGACCGTCGCCCAACGACGGGCCGCGCAGTCATGGCGAATAACCGAAGCATTCGCCTGCCAGCTGAGCACACACACTCGCAGATACGAGCTGCATACGTCTCCGAGCGGCGGGCTCCGTCGGCGCGCGGCGGACGATGACGGGGCCGGCTCGGGCTCCGCCGGAACCTCGGCCGCCGTCCGTGCGCCGCCGGCCGGAGAGCGACCGCTGTAAGTCAGCTTGCCGGTGCTGATTGTGACGTGGGTCGAGGGAGGGCCAAAGTTCCGATGAAAAATCGCCGCTTTAGCAAGTTAGCACGCTCGATTGGACCTGAATGTGGCACTTCTCTCGGAGACCGGAGTGCTGTGCCTCATTCTCCCGTCGCAAGTATCGCGCGGCGGGTGGTGAGGATTGCCGCCGAGAGCCCGCGCGAGGCGACCCGCACGTCCTCAGCCTGACCACACCCAGCATCACTCGATGCCAATGCGCCGGGGTTCAAACGGACCCCGGACCGGACATCCGGGCGGTCATCGCGTGCAAGTGATCACCTCGCCGCCGCCGGCTGTCGGGCTGATCAAACACCGCTGGACGGACCCGGACGCGGGGCATACCTGCAGCTGTGCGGGGTGGGCAGGCTGGCGCCGCGGTCCATCAGGATCTTGATGATCTCGTAATTGTCGCGGTGGGCGGCCAGGATGAGCGGCGTGATGTCTGGCGTGAAGGTGGCCGTGTCGGCCGGCAGCGCCTCCCAGCTCTGCCGGTCAGGGCACACAGCGTCAGCAGATCATCACTACGCCGCTGAGGTGGCCGCGTCGGCCGGCAGCGCCTCCCAACTCCGCTGGACAGGTTGCAGAACGTCATCAGGTCATCACAACTCCGCTGGGGGGGCAAGCTGGGTCAGCAGCATCTCTCAGCTTTGCCACAAAGGTCGCAGCCCGGCAGCAGCAACATCGCTGGGAGAGGGGAGGGGGCGGCAGTGCCGGTCGGCGCTCTGAGGCAGTATCTACGGTAGGACGCGCACGTCAAAATGTTTCACGCGCCATATTTTCTCAGTTTGATTCATAGTCGACGCCAGACACGTCCGGCATATACCCAGCTGTGAGGTAGACGGATCAGGACACTATGAGGGGCAGCGCCACTCTCAGCTACTGCTCGTTTGATGTAGAACGGTTTTATTTTAATGCAGGACAGGATTAAAGACTTGTCAAATTTATTAGCCGTTTTTACAATGAAATAATGGATACAACATTTTCTAAAAAGCTTGTATAATGTTGTTTTACGTTAAAGCATATACTTGACACTCAAAGCAGAAATCGTTTTGATGGGATTCCACTGGCATGCAAGAGGTAAATTACGTGTATCGAACTACGAATATGCTTGTTAAATTAAACGAGGCCCTTCACATACATTTCTTCAGCCCATGCCCTTACCTCGCTCAAATTCTGGGAAAATACTAGGCCTGACAATCTGCAATGTGAATTACTCGAGAGTGCTAGTACTGGCTGCGCCATTAGTGTTTGCATCGGTGCTGTGTGGAGCAATACAGGCTTTGAGGATCACTTTATTTAAGGGTCATTCATCTTGGAGAATGTTGAGACATGTAAGCCCTGCAATCTCTGTAGGTACTGAAAGCAGCCTTCGTAAGTGCTGCCAGCCTATGAACGCGGGCGTTACAGGGATGTATCAGTTTATTTAGTCGTATGTGCACCGCAGATGCACGCTGAATGTTTCTTTATAAGCGTTGAAAGTTTCGGCAGAAAGATATCTGATATCACCTACCTATCTATAACCTATCCATAAAAGCATGGCATTGCTAATAGCCCGAAACCCGCAGTTGTATGGAATTAGGCGTCTTTACAGACATGTTTGTAAATCTCTCCGGAACATTTCCAGCGTAAATTCGCTGAAAAAGGTTTGTGGTTATAAAACCAATGCTGAGAAGTTTTCGAAAAGTTTTAAAAATTACGCACCGTGATCCTTCATGAGGTTTGTTATTGTAACTGAATATCGATCGATCTGTCAAACACTTGAACCTGGTACGACACACCACTCACTCAGCGAGTGAGCACTAACCACTTATCGTGCTCACTTGCGCACTTTCCGTGCCGCTGAAAAGTTATCGGTAAACAAAGAGCGGAAAAGTGGGCGCCTAAGGCGACCTGAACCCAACTCTCCACAGCTGGGTGGATTGGAAGTCAGGCGCTCTAGCCAACTGAGCTATCAAGGGCGGGGGGGGGGGGGGGTAGGGTGGGACAAAGCGCTGTTTTGGAAGCTCTTCACGAACATCTATTTTCTTTAAGTCCAACTCGCCCCATCATTTCTCGGAAAACGCGCAGACCGATCGTGATCCGGTCGAGCATGCCCAGTGTGTGCTGCAAGACGCTGCACTCCTTACCGATAGCATATCTCGCCTCCGGCTACCAGAGCACCAAAATCTTGACGTAATACGTGACCAGTAGCCTGGATTTCCGCTGGCGGCATCACGTTCTGCATCATCTTGGAGAGCATGCACTCCCTGTTGTGACTCGGCGTGAGCGATCGCGTCACCCGTTTCCTCGGATCACGACGCGCCATACGAGGCCGCACCCACGGCTACTGACGCGCCCGGCGTTTGCCAGAGGGCATCGAACGTTGTCGTCAGTGTCGTCCCAGATAGCCGACGGCGGCCGGGCTGGCCTCCCCCCCCCCCCCCCCCCCCCCCCCCCACCCCTCCGTCATTTCAGCCGCGCACGCACGCAGAGCTAGCGGTGGCTCTGCCAGGGGCAGTACCAGCATGACATACAGGTAGTCGGTGAAACGGAACGCTTTGTTCTTGAGCAGCAACACCTGCTTCGTTATCTTGCACGTGCGTAGCGGGTCCTTACTGGTGTGAGCGAGCTCCGCATGAAAGCTTCTCATCCATGTCACAGTTAGACTCCCGTGAGCAGGCACCTACGCCCTCGGCCATGCTCGATAACAAATGTAAAATGCATTAATCTGGAAGGTCAATCTATCCTTCCTAATTTCGACCTTGATCTCGATTCCGATAAACTTGATTTCGATGGCAAATCAAAGCAAGATCTGAGAATTACTGATCTCCTGGGCGAAGCGCAGACAGATTTCCTCAAAGAGAGGGTTCCACATTTGTATTGGATATTGTACTGAAATAGCAATCTTGAATATCATTCGGTGCATGTGACAGCCCTGGCCTTTATTCTGAGCTACACGCCCGCGAAGATGTGCAAGCGATTTAGGAGAGTCTTTTTCAAGATCGCACAGGCATCCATGACGTCATGGTGATATCATTCAAATTCTGTAATTCATTTCCCATGCGATGATCGAGGCCAATAAAAATATAACTGTCGGGTCGCTCATATCTGGCGTTCACGAGCACAATTTCCCGATATAACTGCGGTCAGTTGGCTCTCAATCAACGTTGTGCAAGGTACCATGACACAATCACACAATGACGCATTGAGGAGCCTGTTTACCAAACAGAAACTTTGTGTTATCTAGAGCATTCTTTTCCACCTGAAAGTGTGCCAGTAGTTATAAGTGAGCTTATTGCATGACATATGATGCTTGCTTCAGTGTCTTCAGAGTATTCTCTCTAGTTATGGGCACGGAACTTGGCCGGTAGGCATCATGCCAATTTCAATTGCCTGTCGGGAGCCCTCTGAAATGAAAAAGAAAACTGAAGGCCTACTAAACGGATCAGGTCCGGCTCCTTCCTTTCCTGTTCCTGGGGCTTACCGTCGACCATCATGCAAGTCTAACCCCCGTGTCGGGTACGGGCCTTGCTCATGTGAAGCACGTCGGCCCTCGCCGTGGCGCCAGCACCAGCGGCTTCAGATCCAGCAGCCGTCCATGTCGAACACCGGCCGTGCTCCGTGTGCGGCGGCACGGCCAGCGGCTGCACGGACGAGTCGGCCTCGAGCAGGACAAACTGCTCGCAGGGGACGGATTTCACCGTCTCTATGACCCACTGCAACAGATCGGCCTCCAAAGGCGTGGAGCGCTTCAGGTCGTCCACGGACAGCAGGCGTGCCAGGGGGGCCGGGTCGGCAGCAGTCCACGGGCAGCAGGCGTGCCAGTGGGGCCCGGATCGGCAGCAGTCCACGGGCAGCAGGCGTGCCAGTGGGGCCGGGTCGGCAGCAGTCCACGGACAGCAGGCGTGCCAGTGGGGCCGGGCAGCCAGGCGTGCCTGGGGCTGATCCAGCATCTGCGTACAGCTGACCGTGCCTCGCTTGGAACGCGTCTTCAACGCGTCCTCGCCGCCTCCAGACACTGCTCGTGTGGGAATCGTTTGCTGCGGTCTCCCTTTCTCCCTCGACTCCCACCGCCATCGACCTTGTGAGACGCGTCCTTCAACTGCGTCCACTCGGGCCGGCCTCTGCACCAGCTTGCCACCTTGGACTGTCGTCTGCTGCGTCTCTCTCTCCTCTCTCTCTCTCTCTCCCTCTCCTCTCTCTCCTCTCCCTCCTCTCTCTCCTCCTCTCTCTCTCTCTCTCTCTCTCTCCTCTCCTCTCTCTCTCTCTCCTCCTCTCTCTCTCTCTCTCTCTCTCTCTCTCTCTCTCTCCCTCTCTCTCTCTCTCTCTCTCTCTCTCTGCACTCACACTCTCTCCTTGCTCTCTCCCTGGCTTTCTCGTCCCAGCCTGCACTGACGGCTTGTGACGATACCCGACCTTGCCAGCTTTGAGCTACGTCACTGGACCATGACGGTGATGAAGAAAAACGGTATTGCGCCTTGGCAAGCCAGTATCTGGTAATTCATTTGCACCATCTCTATACCATGAAGCAGACATATGACACTTAGCCCGAAACATGCATTGAGTATAGTTGTTTGATTAGCTAGCGCTGCGTCTCTTATCAAACCCACAAACACTAGTCTTGTAGTTTTGCACGGAGGAAACGTTGAACATGCCTTTTCAAGGACGCGACATCTTAAAACCCTGCGATTGTGAAGGCGATGTGTCATTAACTACAATATCCAATTGTTTCGCCATCTTGTTCGATCAGTTAATGTTGTCAGTAAGGTTTGACACTAGTGTTTTCTAGTTCACACTGGCGCCTCCAGAATGGGCTCGATAGAGAAACGAATGTCGGGCTGGGGTGTTAAGACAGTGTCAAGTTGTGGCATCAGGAGACGTACATTTATCTGGCAAGAAAACATATCGATGTAAGCTCGTCTCTAGAACCTTTATACTTCCAAATGATGAAGTGGCAAGGCCTGGGATCTGTTTAGGACAACAATGACGACAAACTTATTAACAACAGACTATAAAGTCTATCTTCGCACTAGGCACGATCAGCTGGAACGAGAATTCAGAGATATTCGAAACCGGCAAATTAGTCGGGGAAGTGCTAGATCGCCTGCGCATGTGTGACATTTTCGTTTAAATATGTGATTGACTCCAGTATTGCACCCTGTGCAATTAATGGACGACTCTCATTGTCGCGCAAAGTATAAGTCGAATCGTAATTGCTCAGAGACAGGACCAAACGATCGAGGCAGAGATGTCGACGTCGAGATTAACCACATTAATAGGGCACTTTAGAAGCCATGCCCGTCAAGCGAATTATGCTAATCGCAAGGAGATGCTCGATCGACGGCGATGTTGGCACAAACAGCTGCAATAAATCATATTTACGAGACAGTCCTGATACATAATTTTCATTAAATGCTAGAGCCAGCTTTGGGCTCAAGGCCACACACCAACACAATACATTGGCCTATCCAGGCTATACGTTGATAATGTGCATGTGACTTGTGTGGCCCGTTGTTATTGTGAACAGTCGGCGACTTATTGACGAATCATTTGACAGTCATGTTTATCAGTAAGGCATTGTGCCAACGGTGTGAATGGTGGCAGATGAGGTCATAGGATTGCGCAGGTCCGGATGGACAGGAACTGGGCCGAGAAAAGCGGATAAGGGTTCTGAAAACCGTTTTCGGTTATACCCAAACGGCAACTCTGAGCTCCGGAGTCTACCATGCCTTAACGTTTACACTGCGACCATTGTGCAAGGTATTGGATCAGTCGGGATTAATGCAACACATGTGGTTATCTAGCTATTCCGAACACACAGAGCCATTTTGTCACATGACTGCTGGTTGGCAAGCGTAGCGATGGCTGTCGGACCATTACTTGTTTCTCGCAACCCATGACCCTGCGTGATTTTCATAGTTTTACGGCCGCTATCAACGCACATGACGCGTTTGCTTCACAGATCGGCTCAATTTTCGGAACTCAGCAGGCATTATGTATTTGCAGAGCGAATCACTTTCTCCGAGGCCGTGCATTATTGGACGACCCATTAATCTTTAACGCAGTGTAAATGTATACAGCCTCGTAAACATCTCCATCCATCAACGCTTACTATAATACCGGCCAGCCACTGAGTCATGCAATCGCCCTGCACACAATGTGTGTGTTACCATGCGGTGAGCACCGCCGGCGGCGCCATGACCGGCGCGGGCCGCCGTCGTACTCACGTGCAGCTCGCCCGGACCGGTGGGTGAGCTGCTCGTGCTCCAGCAGCAAGTGGTAAGCACCGCCGGCGCCGCTATGACCGGCGCGGGCCGCCGCCGTACTCACGTGCAGCTCGCCCGGCCGGTGGGTGAGCTGCTCGTGCTCCAGCAGCAAGTGGTAAGCACCGCCGGCGCCGCTATGACCGGCGCGGGCCGCCGCCGTACTCACGTGCAGCTCGCCCGGCCGGTGGATCATCTCCTCGTGCTCCAGCAGCACCTCCACCGCCTCCACATACTCCTCGTTGATGGCGTGCAGCAGCGCGTCCTTGGTCTCCACCTGCGGGGCGCACAGGCTCGGTGACAGGCGAGCTCGAGCAGTGATCGGGCCGCATCAGGCGGAGCAGCCTGGGAGTCATGCGGCACAGGACCGAGGGTGGAGCTGTCAAGTGTGCTCAGCTACGTGCTTCCGTGATTACACCGGGCATATGGGTTATACGCCCAAGTGTGGGCGTGATGGGCCAGTGTATATATGGGAGGCACAAAGACCGGCGGCATACCTGAACCTGGAAATATTCTCAACATAGCGGTTTCCGGTATTATGCATGCCTTAATGCCTCATGGCACGCTAAGCATCATTTGTCATATCAAGCTGTCCTGGTATCACAGATTGGTTGTCAAGTTGGCCAATAATCGCATTTTGGCTGCAGGCTTTTTGACAGATGAAACCTAGACTGACGTCATAAATATAACACAAAACACGAGCCAGCAATCACATGCATTCCATACAGTTGCTTTGTCCAAACCAGTAAAGGAGGCAAAAGTAATAGTCTTATTCCTCGTAGGAAAACCAGGAAAATGGAGAGGCTCCCATCTATCTATCTATCCACT